ACTGCACTAACCCCCCCCCCCCCCCCACCCCCCCAAAAAACACAAACAACAATTATAAAAACTTTTCTGTTTAAATTAGAATACTAACCTGCAATTACGGATTATTGCTGCAATAACACAATGTAAATTTTTAATATCAACTAAAATCATATTTGACAACAGTCCTTTTTTAAAATCCCGATAACATTAGCACAATTCATCTAAATGTTGTCAAACATGCAAAGCATGCCGGCACCAGGCCACAACACCAGCAGGATCATTCCTATCTTAAGTACCAAATATACTCTTTTCTTCAACAATGACATAGGTAATTTTTTGGGCCTAAGCATCTTTTTCCCCTCTTGCCAATAAATAGAGACTGTTAGATCCTAGTATCAATTGGGGAATTCACTGAAGTTTTAATGTGAACTTTGGCTGACTAACTCATGTGGCCTGTGCACCACTCCTAAGTAATTGACGACGTTGGTTATCCTCACACAGTAGACGTGTCCTGTACTCCAAAGTTCCTGGAGTATTCGCGTACTAAACACCTCAATCCATCCACATCTTATCCATTGCGTTAACTGATAGTGTCGATCACTCATCAGCCAGTCCTATGGCTCAATCTTCAAATTCAAATATCATCTTTATCCCATGAAAAATTATTCTATCCCAAGCGTAACACTCTCGCGTCCCTGCAGTCTACTGCTCGACAAAATGCCTTCACCAGCTTTGACTTTTTAAGCGTTACTATCCGGTCTTTTTGAAGCCCTCAGAACACAATCCGATCCGTTCACCTAAACACTTGAGCACCCCCAAATTCACGTTTCATATCTTATTCAGGACACGCTGGGCATTTGGGTAATACTCAGCATTCTACTTTACGCTGCGAAGATCCCTTCGCACTGAAGATCGGAGCACAGTAACGGACATCAGTTGATCCTGTATCGCTAGATTTCTTCCAGTGTGCAACTGGGTGGCCGGCCCGATCCCGCCAGTTTCGGATCATCGCCTGCCCATTCCATTGGCTGCTGAAGGAAGCAGAATGTTTTCGCGCTTTTCTTTGTTGGTTCGCTTCTTTAACCTTATGCGGGGAACTGGGAGAGTGAAACAGAAGGATTCTCGGTCTACACGCAAGACATTTTTTTTTCCTTTTCTTTTTTCTGTTTTGCTATCTCTACCCCGTTCTTTCTTTCGGTTTTTGTTCTTGTTCTTCTTGGTTTTTTAATGATGTTTCATCTTACTGCGCTCTTTTTCACCATTTTCATTTCCAACGCGCGCTGGTCGAATCATATACCTCATGTTTATCTTTATCGAGTTTTCATGAACTCCACAAGGTCACCCGGCGCTTCACGACCCGATATATATTCCACGACGACTTGGAACCAGCTTACCGTTGCCACCTGCCTGTGCATGCAACTTATCTCAGTCCGAAATCTCCTTGTGTCTTAAATCATGTCAATGTGCCTCACTCATCGTTTGAGATACTGCGAGTCGAAAGTTCAACCAAGTGCGGTTGTTATGAGGTGTGATTGTTGGGTTCAGTTATGTTTTCAACTTGGACACTTGGACATGCCGTAGATAACATCGAATTTTAATTAAGCCCTCCATTACTGACCAGGATATATTCTATTAAATCCGAGTTTTCTACCGGCTTCCCGTGATGTTTACAGCCGTATAAATCCTTCTCTAAATCAATTTTTTGCTCTATAGATTATCCCACTTATCATTGGGTTTGTCCAATTAGAACTTGAAGTTTTCATAATTTCTTAATAGAGCGCTGCACTAATGAATTCAACTCCTCTGCTCTGAAATCCTTATTTATCTCTAGGTGACCCCCCACGTGGGAATGTGCCAATTGGTTTTTGGCTTCTTATAAAGTTGTGCAATTTTTTACCGAATCTTGTTTTTTGTGGTGAATTAAAAGCTTGTAAGGTAATTGGGTTTGTATACTATGGTGTCTGTATGGCGTTGTCCCAAAGATGCGAAGGTATTAATTGATCCTTTCGTGGGACATTTTTGTCACATTGGATAAAAGACATGCCAATTAAAATGGGAGTGGACCTTGTCTTTGTAAAGTTAAGTTCGAAGGGTGGGAATCGCCCGAAGGTAATTTGTTCTCTTTACGTTGAATGTCTTCTGGAATGCTCTTCCCTGCTTAATTTGTAATAGAAGGAATATGAATACGTACGAAGAGAGTGGGTCAGCACCGGGCTTCGTAGAGCGTTGTTGAATATTTAATTTGTGACATGGATGGGTCCTTGAACTAGTGACTAAATTGGAACTGTCTCCCACCTCTAACACATCAGTAAGCCCGCAAGCCTCCCGAAAATTTTTCATTCAACCGAGACCAAGGGCGCCGTAATTGTGTACCGTGATAATCAATGGTTTGAGATCCAGTTGTTTTTTCGAAAATTATTTGAATATCAATAAATTGAATCCTAAGTGGCTAATCAATTATTATTTAGAATGTTCATGAGTTGGGGGGAAGTGTCCTTAAATTAAATTTAATGGAGAATTTAATGTAATGGGCCCAGTTAATCCCAATTCTAAAGTCATATAGTAAAACAAGGGACAGCCAGCCGTCCACAAGGGAAGGTTAAACCGTAAATAATTGACGATTAATCAAATGCCAACTCAGGGTGGGAATAGACACTCTTTAAATGTTATCATCTACCACTAGACTAAACTCACCTGCACTTTAGGAGTTATTGTGCATAACCCCATGTACTATTTTATTTCACTAAATCATATTTGAAGTTCATTTTTTAATCCCCATATTAGCACCATCAACTCTAATGTGTCACTGCAAGCATAGCAAGCACAAGGCGAAAAAAAAAGAGGATAAAAAATTCTTTCTTAGTACCAAAAATATACTCTTTTATTAAAAATGAAAAAATAGGTAATTTTTTGGGACTAAAGAATTATTTTCACATGCTTGCCATATAGGATGTTAGAATCAATAGTACTAATTTGGAGATTAAATGAGAAGTTTTCATGTGAAATTTGGTGAAATAAAACAATCCATGTGGGCCATGTGCAACAACTCCTAAAGTATTGAGGAGTTGAGTATAATAATAAAAAAGTTGACGGGAATGTACTGCTACTCCCAAAAGTTCATGGAGGTTTTCCGTAATTAAACCTAAAATCAATACCAAAATTCATTTAATTGTTAATGAATAAGGTCGATAACTTCAATCAAGCAAGTCCTATGGCTCATCTTAAATTCCAATATCATATTTATCAATGAAAAATTATTCATATCACCCACATAACTACTCGAGTCCATGCCAGTCTACTGCTCGACGAAATGCCTTAACAAGACTTTGACTTTTCTAGAAGTTAATCAAATCACGGTCTTTTGAGCAAATCAAAGAAAAACCCAGATCCTTAAACTAGAAATTGAGCACAAATTCACCGTTAAATATAGTTATTAGGAAAAAAAAAGATAAAAAGGGGAATTTGGGTAATACTCACAGACATTCTATCTTACGATGAAGAAGATCAAACTTCGACAATGAGGAGAGCAAAGTGACGGCAATCAGTTGATCGATGATATCGATGATTTTATACAAGATTGTGAATGGTGAAGGCCCGAGCCAGACAAATTCTCGGTCGCCTGCAAATTCCATGGCATGGAGAGCGATGTTTTCGCGCTTTCTTTGTTGTCTCCGCTTCTTTAACCTTATGCTGGGGACTGGGAGAGTGAAGAATGATTCTCGTTCTAAACGCAAGATTTTTTTTTCCCCTTTTTCTTTTTTCTGTTTTGCTTTCTACCCCGTTCTTTATTTCCTTTTTTGTTCTTTGTTCTTTCTTGGTTTTTTTTAATAGATGTTCTCACTCTAAAAATGAGCTCTTTTTAAAAAAAATTATTATTTAAAGAGAAATGGTAGATCAATACTACCTCATGTTTTATTTATAAGAGTTTAAATGAAACAATCCAAAAGGTCACAAGTAACTTCACACACAAAGTAATTATAATTAACACGACAAAAAAGAATGGAACAAAGCTAACAGTTGAACAGGCATGTGCATTGAAAAAATTATCTCCAAGTCAGAATCCTCCTTGTAGTATCTAATCATGTCATGTGCATCAACAAAATCATCGTTTGAGAATCTGCGAGTCGAGCTCCAAAAGTGGAGTTGTATGAGGGTGAATTTTTGGGTTCACGTTTATGTTTTACTTGGTCAAAATTGAAATTGCGTAAGATAACATGATTTTAATCCTAAGCCCTAAAATTTAGATAAGACAGAAAAAATATTATTCATATTATCGAAGTTTCTAAAACCGGCTTCGATGAACTTTTAAGCCGTATAAATCTTTCTAAACTCAACTTTTGCTCTATAGAATTATCCAAACTACTCAAATAAATTTGGAGTTTTGTCAAATTAAGCCAATTGGAAGTTTTTATAAAATTTCTTAATAAGAAAAAAGCTGCAAATATGACATTACCTCCTCTGAACTCTGACAATCTTATTTATCATTATGTTGTACCCAAACACCAAGTGGGAATGGTGCCCAATTTTTGGCTCTTCCTTAAGAATTTGGTGCATTTTTTAACTAATGAAATCCTTGTTTTTTGTGTGATTAAAGCCTTTAGAGTATTGGGATTTTGAGTAAAGTACAATATGGATGATGTATGAGTTGTCCAGATGACGAGGATATTATTGAATCTTTCTGGGAAAATTTTTGCTACACAATTGCGACTAAGATGCAAATTATGGGAGTGGACCTTGTCTTTGTAGTTAAGTTCAGAGGGATGGGATCGCGAGATAATTTGTTCCATCATTTAACAGTTGATGTCTTCTGGATGTCTTCGTGCTCATAATTTGCATATAAAGAGAGAATAAATGATACAAGTAGAGAGAGTGCAGGTCACCCACGGTATCGAGTAAGGAGCCGATTGTTGGAATATTCATTTGTGACTATGGATTGGGATCCTCTCGACTAGGTGACTATTGGATAGTCTCCAATTCTCACAATCGTTGCCGTATATTTCCAATTCAAGGGACGATATTAGGCTACGTGATAAAACTACCATGGTCTTGAGAATCATTGTTTTTCGAAACCAATTATTTGAAAACCACTATCACAATAATTGAATCCTAGTGGCCTAATCACATCTATTTAATTTAGAATGTTCAGCAACAATTGGAGAAAGTCAGCTCTCTAATTACCACTTAATTGGAAAAGATCTACATAGATTGGGGATTATAATACACATTTAAAAAAATTTATATAAAACACGGGTCGGTACCTAATAACTTGAGTTATTCGGTCGAAATTGATTTTTAAATTCTATTTAAAAATTATTAATTCCGGATTGGATCCAATTATAATCCAACAGCCATCCAAGTTCATTTGCACTTTCATGGGACACACCGAAACTAACATTAATTACACTCAACATCAAGACAGAAGCCCTACGTGCCAAGTATGTGTAACTATGTTTCACTAGGGCTGTCTATTCGCGGCCCAAGGCCCGACCTGAGGCGGCCAAGGCCAGCCTAGGCCCGGGCATTGCTCGGAAAACCCAGGCCAAACGCGGTCTCCGGGCTCGGCCTGTCCTAATGAAGCCGGGCCTAGCCCGGCGCAGTATATATATATATATATATATATATATATATATATATATATATAAATATATATATATATATATATATATTATATATATATATATATATATATTATATATATATTACATATATTATATATATAGGGAAACTGGAGAATCACTGGCCAATGCTTCTCCCCGTGAACAGCGCATTACAGCTGCGTGAGTTTGTTTGAAAAAAAGCCCCTTTTTGAGCCCCACAACTATCCCCAAAACTCTCCCAAAAGAAAGGATGCATATACAGCCAGAGCATCCTCAACACTCAGATAACCTCCACTCCTTCACGCTGCTCATCAACCAAAACCTCACCCTCTCCACCCTCCTCCCTTCCCCAAACCCCAGGACCAAAACTCCGCCACGAGCACGCCGTCGCCGAGCAACCCTCCCCCGACCGTCCACCTGAACAACCCCGTGACTCCAAAATCTCGATCCCCCCCTCCAAGACCCTCCCTCCTTTAGCGAGATTGATCGACACTGCAAGCGTAAAATCTCCTCTCTCTCTCTCTCTCTCTCTCTCTCTCTCTCTCTCTTCGATTCCCATCAAATACAACGCAGCTGCCCCCCTAAAATCTCACCTGTATCGTTCCTTTAGACTCATGCGTGTGTAAAATCGTCAAACTCAAAACACCCAGCAACAATAAAGAAAAACTCATAAAAGAATTTATTACTCTAAAAATCTCTCTTAAGAAAGAAAAATTCAACAAAAATAGTCATAAAAAGAACCCCCCCCCCCCCCCCCCCCTTGTTTTTTTTCTGTCTTCCTCGGAACCTCTCTCAATCTTAAAGGTAACGTCTTTGAACTGTTTCCTTGTTATTTTTATTGTACTTCCAAAGCTTAATCGGTGTTTTAATGAGTTTTTGGTTCATAATTTGGTTTATTGTGATTATAGTTGCTTGAATTGAAGTTTGTGTTTTGGGTTGTTTAGATCTCAGTGATCTTCAACTGATCAATTTGAGGGTGAAATTGTTAGTTACAAATTGAGTTTTAAGATGAATCTCATGATTTAGTGGGCTATCCATTTCTAAAGCTGATTATGAGTAGTATGTTTAGAGAAAATTAAAATTATGAAATTGATACATTAGTGTTTTTTTAGCACTTTGAGCTATTTATATGCTCAAATCCTGGCTCATCATTGAAGCATGAATGTTGCACAGAACAATTTTATTGAGTAACATGATTGCAACACTAATTTAGTGATTTCATGCTTTACATTATTTTGTTATTATTTCACTTATTTCAGTTTCCCTCTTTCCTACAGAACAAGCATGGGAATAGGAGAGTTCAGAATGGAGGAAATATATTCAACTAGTGTAGAGTTCAAAATGGGAGAATCAAGTGCTATTGGAAGTAAAATTGTAGCCAATGCTGAAAATGCTCCTAAACCACTACTAGGAATGAATTTTAATACTTATGAAGAAGCTTGTAACTATTATAATTCTTATGCGTTATTAATGGGTTTTGGAATAAGGAAGAGTGTGATAAATTACTCTCACAAGACTAGAGACGTGCTAGACAGAAAGTTTATTTGTGATAAGAAGGGCTATAGATCTAATAGAGACAATATAGAGATCTCTTTTCGACGAGAGACCCGAGTGGGATGTAAGGCAATGATGCGAGTTAAATTATTAGAGGACAAGTCATGGGAGGTCACGAGGTTTGTTGAAGAACATACAAATCATGTGTTGAGTAGTCTAGACAAAGAAAAAATACACATATCACATCAACAATTCTATAAAAGTCAAAGACGTAAAAAAACTTATTGAGAGTCTGCGAAAAGAAGGTATGTCTCCTTCCACTATTCCTCACATCATTAATATAACCAATGGAAGAGAAGGTGAATTAGTGACACCACAATAGTGTACTGATCATATCAGAACCCAAAAAGATAATAATATTGGCCATGAATGTATATCTATCATTCGACATTTTTAGAGTAAGACAACGAATGATTCAGAAATTTATTTTGCAAAAGAAGTAGACAGTAGTGGACAAATAAGGAGTGTTTTCTAGGCTGATGGAAGATCAAGAGCATTTTATTTGCAATTTACTGATGTTGTTGTGTTTGATGTGACATACAGAACTAATAAGTTCAGTCTTCCATTTGCTCTATTTACTGGTGTGAATCACCATAGGCAGTCCACTTTACTTAGTTGTGCATTATTAGCTGATGAACAGGAAGATACCTCTGTGTGGTTATTTTAAGAATAATTAAAATGCATGTATGTGGTTGAACCAGATGTCATTATAACAGATCAGAATAGAGCAATGCGTAATGCTATTCACTCAGTGTTTCCAACGACAAGACACCGTTATTGCTATTGGCACATGCAAAAACACATTATTGATCATATGTCTACTTTGGGGTCTCGTTATGGTGAACAGTTTCAAATGTATTGGGGCTTGTGGTATAATAGTTCTTCAATTGAACAGTGTGAAGGATATTGGTTTGAGATGAAGGAGAAGTTTGATATAATTGCAAATAGTTTACAAATGTCAAGAATATTGGGTGTCATGTTATTTGAAGGACTTTTTTTTTTGCTAGAATGAGATTGAGCCAAATGAGTGAAAGTATTAATTCTTTTTTTGATGGGTATGTTAACTCACAGACTCAATTACAAGAGTTTGTGACAGAGTGAAAGTATTAATTCTTTTTTTGATGGGTATGTTAACTCACAGACTCAATTACAAGAGTTTGTGACACAATATGAAAAAGCAGTAACTCTGGGTATGTTAACTCACAGACTCAATTACAAGAGTTTGTGACACAATATGAAAAAGCAGTAACTCATCGCCACCTAAGTGAAGCCCATAAAGATTTTAAGAGACTTAACACAAAGCTTGTCATGCTCCTTGGGCATCCAATTGAGGTCCAAGTTGGAGAAATATATACACGCAATATGTTTGTTGTGTTCCAAACTGAATTCAAAGGATTTGGTACAGAGTTTTACGAAGAATTGAGAAAAGATGGGGACATTTTTTAATACAAGATCTGTAAGTTTACAGATAGAGGAAAATGGGAGGTGGTTAATTATGATCAGTCCATTCATTTACAGTTCATTTGCACTTATGCTTTGTTTGAAACCAATGGTGTTGTATGTAGACATATATTGTCGCTAATGATGGCTAAACAAATGGATTCATTACCCGACCATTACA